TCTTTTCATCTTTAGGTTGGTTGGATGATGATGTATGTTCACCAATTCAGCCGCTCAACAGGGCGGGGGGGGGGCAAAGGGGGGGGGGCGCTTATGCTGTGGGGGATGCCCAGGAGCTCATGCAGCTTCCTGCCACCCTTCCCTCCTCCTCCCCCCAGCATCTGTGCCTTATTTCTGTTTCGCATAGGCAGGGTAGGCTGTTTTGAAGCACACATTAATAGGAAAGCACCCATCCTTCACTTTGTACTTCCTCAAGACTCTGCCTTTGGGTGCTTCTTTATACCCAGAGATGCTATCATTCCCTGATTCTCCCTAGGTCATCTGGGATTTCTGGAATTCAGTTGGAATGCAGTTGACAAAGGAGCCTATCCATGCAACAGGTAGCAGAATAAATTCCTAGTGCCTTAGGTATTTCCCCAAAGCTTAATAGGCCTGCCCCACTGAGGGAGGCTGTGCCATTTGGACCTGATCTCTGTCCTCTGAGCTGTGTGTCTGGGAGTCTGCAGTTTATCACAATTTCAGAAAAAGCCATTGTGTGTTTTTTTTTTCCAACTGACATTTGCTTTCAAAGTAATGGTAACTCTATGTCACTGGAACTGCTACTAGTATACTGATAATCATGTTGCAGTTCTCAAAACCATTGATTTCCTTTCCAACTATCTTCAATGAATATTTGAATCAGGCATATAAACTTGGGAGGAGTAGCCAGAAGCAATTAGAGTCTTATCTCATTGGTCTGTTATCAGCATTCAGATCTCAGTTTCATAAAATTCCTTGATAAAATCTGAACTTCATTCTGCATGACTATCCTTTTCCCCTTGTAAATTCACATGATCAACTTTTTTTTTTTTTTCATTTCATTCTGTAAGCAGTGTGGTAACTTTTATCTGTTGATAAAGGGGACTCCAAACATTCCACCTTTTAAAGATATAACCTCAGGAATGTGTATTTAAGAACATTGCTGGAAACCAGTTTTAAAATTTCTACAGCCAAAACATTGAGCATACAAGTTAGTAGGGTTAACTAAATATTATGAACACTTTTTAAAAAGCATGTGAAAATACAAGAAAATTTTGAAAATTGAACTGAATTCACTTCTAAATTTTTATTATATTTGATTGCACCTTACCAAGTAATATGTATTCCAAGTAATGCATTTCATTTAGGAACATTCTGCAGCCTGCTATCCTGAAGTATATATGTGAAACCTCAAGATTTCCAATAGAACCATAATGGAAATAGAGCCCAATAAAAGAAAACACTAACAGAACCCGTTGTGATCTCTTCTAACTGGCTCTGGCACCATTTGAAAAGCTTCTGATATAATGGCTTTTGTGAGCCAGAGATTCTCCATAAATTGCCACTTGGGACCTGCAGATTTTAAAACAAAACAAAGCATTATTTAAACATTTATTACATTGTTATCCCTATAGCAGCTGCCTCCAATCTTGGGGACATTTTCATTCTATGTTTCTTCAAGGTTGCATCTTGCATTACACTGAAGTTTTTAGATTGTTGGCTGACATGGAAAAACTTTTAAGTGGGTCATTATGATAAATATGCTAACCAATATAATATTGACAGTGAAGCTGTCTGCATTATGGGTATAGTTTCAAGTATGCACAAAAAGCAAGCTGTGAAAGGGCCAATATAACAGCTAATGATTTTTTTCAGATATATATTTAGTTTTAATGAGGTTATGAGAAGGCTCACAAACATTCTAGTTTTAATAGTATGCTGACACCTGTATATGTACTTATGAGAATTCATTTTCCTTTTGAAACTCTTCCTGTAGGTTCCCCAGAGATAAACTTAGACAACATGGAAATATTAGTCACCATTTATTGAGTATCTTCTATGTTCCAAGCACTTGGCTAAATAGTTATATTACAGCTCAGACTTAAAGCAATTCAGGAAAGATCTGTATACATTCACATATGTAGGGTTTTGGGAGGGTTATATATCTAAAAAAAATGCATATTGGTACAAGTGTAATTTTTTTTCAGTTTTCAGCATAAATAGCTATATATATATATATATATATATATATATATATATATATATATATATATATTCATAGTTGTGTTACTTGACTTGTATCAGTCTGTCTTTTTGTCTGAAAAATGTTAGATCTTTCTCTCTCAGTTCCCATGGACCTAACATGTTGTTTGTAACCCCAGGCTTAGGGTTCTCAAGCACTTTTTCTCAAACTTGTCTGCCCACTGGAATCACCATGGAACATGGGAAAATAACCATGCTGGGGCCCCAATGCCAGAGATTCTGATTTTCTTAGCGTGGGGTACGGCATTGGCACTAGCATATGAGGCTCCAACATTTATTAAAACATTTACCTATGGAAGAAAATAGGTGCTTCTCTATTACAAATCATGAATCCTGTTTGCTTCCTGTTATAAGGCCACAGTGAACTTATCAATAAATCTCTGTGCCCATGTATATTATGTAGGTGAAGTTCCTAGATAGAGACTCTAAGGCTTCTTCTCAGATGTGGTTCAAAGGCAGTACATCACAACAGGTATTGCCAGATCGTCTTCCCCCGCGGTGGTACAGTTCACTTTCCCATCCACAGGTTATTAGACTGTGCATCGTAGGGCTGAAGTCATCTCCCTGCATCCTAGTGTTTTTGTTTTGTTTATTTTCAAAGGGCTGTTTATTTAAGTGATTATGGAAGTTCCCAACATGAAGAGAGGTTGGGGAAGTCCCATGTGAGAGCTTTATTTCTCTAAGTCTTTATAAAGCTGTATCTTTAGAGGCTGACAGGACAAAGCAAAATACTGCCTTCAGTTGTGAACATCAGGGGACATGGGTGTCTCCCTAGAGGCTCGGAGAGTTCTGGTTGGAGAGTGAGTCAGCACCTGCTGAATCCACACACACCTTACACAGGACAGAACCAGAGACCAAGTGGCTTCTTTACTGCCTTTTTTTCTACACTTAAAGCTCTCATATAATGAAAGCTTTTATTATGATCTTTCCATAAGCCTCTTTTGAAGATTTATTATGTAAAGTTTGTAAGTAGGATTTTTATGAAAGGCAAGGTGCTTCTTTTGAAGGGAGTTCCAGTTTTCATAGTGTGACTCCATCTCCTGGGCTTATGGTTTCTGGGTGGCTTCTCCCTGCCTCATCATGAACAGGACTCATTAGGGAAAGCCTGAGCATAGGTGTGGGGCTGGCCCCAATGCATTGCTCTGCACCTTCTCCAAAATGAGCCCCTCTGAGTAGCAGGCCTTGGGGAGAGACTGGGGCTGTAGTAAACAATTCACCACACTGTAATTGGAAACCCAGGAAACACCATATACTTAGCTTTCTATAAACATTTTTTACATTTGTTATGGCAGATGGTGGCTATGTCCACATGTGTTCAGAATGATCTTTCTGAGGCAGAAGTGTGAAAGCCAGTGACCCTGAATCCTTATATGTTCAGGGTTTGTGGTAGGTTTTCACTCTTGATGACCAATTCACAGTTACTTTTCTGGCCAAAGAAGATGCTTTCAGAATTAGAAAATAAAATAATAAGTAGATGAGATCAGTGACTGAGGAAACTATGAAGGGCAATCAGATCAGCATTGCCAATGTCAGTGTACTCAGTGACTAAATGGGGTATGCCGCATGGTATTTTTCGTGCAAGTTTTTGGAATATTAAACCTTTTACATTCTTTAAAATATGCAGGAAAGCTTTATTATAAGTGCCCTTTTCCACAGTGCCCCGCAAACCCTCAGAGAATTTCCCACAATTTGCAGATAAGCTGACCAACCTACAGAGCTCTTGATTTAGTGATGACAACTGCCTATAGAGATTAAGCCAGCCTCATTCCAGGAATTTGCTCTGCTGACACACTCAGGAATGTCAGAGAAAGGAATCTGGTTAGCATATTTCCACCAAACCGTAGTTAACAAGTATAAATCCTTCCTCCAACTTTTTAATGTGGTTCTGACTTTACGTCACAGTGTCCACTTAAAAGCCATCGGGTACTTGCTGAGTACTTGGAGTGCTAGTCAGAGTGAGAAAAATGGCACACACCAGCTCACTTAGCCCTCAGATCATGCCTGTGAGCAGTTTCTCCCAGAGCTGAGAAGGAATCTTCTGTTGGGGGCAAGTTGATATGCTTCTTTTAATTGGTGAGGGAGAGTTGCAAGATCCATCCATTTTCCCTTTTGCCTGGGCTGTTTGGAAGGTCACACCAAAGTTTGCGGTCTAGCTTTCCTAGATTTTTTACTTTTCTTTATCTACTGTCCCCTGGGCTCCTCCTGTTTCCATGTTTGTCTCTCATTCTATGTTGAAGGGTTGGTCTCACGGGCTTTTTAATATTAAGCTGTCTCAATTTACTTTCTTACAAAATAGAGGCCAAATTATACACAACTCTTCTTCATTTCTACAGGTGATAAGACTAAGCATCAGAGAATCCAAGTGTGTTTCCTTGAGTCTTTTGATGAAAGAAGTGGATGAGCCCATATTTGAACCCTGGTCGCAATTCCACAGATGCCAGTATTGCACTGCGTCTGATTATCAGCCTCCAGGACTGGAAAGCAGAGACATTTGCCCCAAGGGAGAGGGGGGTTCTTTATTGTCACCAGAAAGAGGGCTAATTTTAACTAAGATTCTTTGTTCTAGCGGTGTTTCATTTTCTCCTCTTGCAATTGTATTAAAGTCGTTTGGCATAAAAATAGTAGGAAGAACATAAAAGAGGAAGGTAATTAGTGAGCTTTAAAATTTGCTTTCAGTAAGCATGAAGATAAAAAACCCTTTGGGCAAATCTTTCTTTATTTTTAGTCCAGGGAACTGAGCTAAACCATCTTTGGCCAAGTGTTCCTGTGACCTGGTGTTCTTCACAGAAGCCTGTGTAGAAATAAAGATTACACCCACCTAACAATGAAATGTCTTTGTAAGCTCTAGTTATAAATTGAGAAGGAGTCACATTGAGCTGCATCCGATTTGGGGGCTGTGAGGACAGGCAGTTATCACCTCTCCCAGGGGCCCTGGGTCTTCTGTTCTCACTGGGGAGAGGGACTCCATATTACTGTGAAGACTGTGGCAGGAGTCCTCAGCTCAGACAATCTGCAGTCCCCTCCCCCCATTCGTATTATACTTTGAAGATCTAGAAAACAGTTGTTGAAACTAAATATATATCTATGCAAATTCTTTTCTCTCAATATGCCTGAATAAATTTAGTTGTGAGGAAGTTAAAAGAATGCCTGAAAAAGTCTTTCTTTTTTAGCCAATGTCTTTCCATATCATTTGCATTTCCCATGTGGATGCACCAAAGACTGCTATCCTTGTGTGAGAAGGTCTTAAAACTTAAGTACCTGAACTGTGGTCATTGTGGTAGGTAATGTTTTAAGAGGCAGCTGTATTCACAGGTATTTGTGAAGACCAACTTCAGGAGGGCACTCCATTTGGATCAGCTGAGGACCAGACCATGTAGAGTACAGGTGATTGCCGTTGTCTTGCAACAGATACACACACACACACACACACACACATACACACACACACACACATACATACATACTGGGGATTGAACCAGGGGTTCTTAACTACTGAGTCCCATCTCCATTCTTTTTTAATTAGTTTTTTACTTTTGATAAGGTCTCCCTAAGTTGCTCAGAGCCTTGCTAAGTTGTTGGCTTTGAATTGTGATCCTCCTGCCTCAGCCTTCTGAGCTGCTGGGATTACCAGCATGTACCATGGCTTGGCTCTCCCAGATCCTTTCTGAAAGAGTTGCTAGGTGATTCAGGAAAGATGGGTTCTCTCACATATTAAAGAACAGAACTCAGCCTCTTGGACAAATGAGAGCTTTGATGTGACAAAGCCAGCCATTGAATGGTAGCTTCTTATGTTATTGTAACCCCACATTTGTCTTTGTCCTTGTGAGATCTTTGAGTGGATCCCTTAGAGGCAGTGAAGACTAGAGCCCAAAGGGGAGAATGATTTGCATTTTGTTTGTCTTTAGCTTAAATGTGTTTATTGATGTAACTCCAAAATTGCAACAGGTCAGCAGCTGAGGGGGGCAGTGCTCTCTGGCTTGGTTGTAGTTTCTTTGGTGGGGCACTCCAGTGACACTTTGGGTTTGTCTCTTTCCTTGATGATTGAGATGAGATGTCCTGGCTTCCAGACTCTGGTTTCTGTCATGTGAGCAGCACAAACTTCCTAAATGGAGAACCGTGTTATATTGGCTTTAGGGATTTATACCCTAAACCTATGGTTTAAGTAGTGAGTCATGGGACACAACAGTCGCTGCCAGTTTTTTAGGGTGAATATCTGGAGATGCCCTTGTTTGCTCTTTACATGAGGGGTGGGGGCAGTGTTTCTGGCAGGAGTCTGTGGCTTGGGCTTGGAGAAAGACCTTAATTATGTGCTGATTGAGGCCTGGTCTGGCTGAGAGTGCTTGTGGAATGCTTTTAGGCTCCTTTCTCCCTGATCTAGGGAGGAAGTAGGGGAGGCAGGGACCTGTTCAGGCTTTGAATTAGTGCATGTGACTGCCCTAATGCCCAGCAGACAGAGGAGTAGTCAGTGTTTTCAGGGTGCTGGTGGCTTTTTGGGGTGTTTTCAGTTTGGTTTCTTGTATCAGAAAAGTTACTGGGTTGAGAAAACTGACTGCTGAGTGAGTTTCCAGGAGCCACTCCAAGAGGTGCCCTATGAGAACATCCTTTGGGGACCAAGCATATGGGAAGGGCTGTCCCTCCACTGGACACACTTGTTGGGAAACGCCCTTTCCATTTCCTGATGGAGAGGATGTTGAAACTTGTGGAGAAAATACAATTCCCTTTCAGACATTTCTCCTGCAACCTTTAGACTCTATCCCATGATATTTTTTTTTTTTTTTAAAGCTCTAAATAGTATTTGGCATCTGGTGGACTTGGGAAATGAAACCAGACATGTGGAATGTGAGAGGGGAGAGAGATGGCCAAGGAAAGAAGCAAAGCAATTTTTTTCTTTCACATTTTTCTTGATAAGAGAGTTTGGGTTAATATGGTTGTGTTGTTGCAACCCAAATTATATGTTGGGGCCCTCTGGAAAATTGCAAAATGTGAGGTTCACTGTAGCTCTGAAAGCAATAAGTATGGCAACTAAAATGGAGGGTCCCCAACCTTTCTCTTTTAAGTTGCTCTTATAGGAGACATTGTTTCCCCAGTCCCTCTTTTTTTTATGTCTGTGACATGGATTCCATTGTTTTAGAAATTCCAGAGATGGTGTATAGTACAAAACCAATGCCTATGTTTTAGGATTGAGAGTTTAACTAGAGAATTCAATGTGAAGTGCTGTCTATCTTGATTAAAATAATAGAGGTGGGGTAGAAGTATGCTCCCCCTTGTTCTATGCAAGTACATCAAAGTGCTCTCAATTTTAACCCAGCTGGTAGCCAGCAGGGACTCACTGTCCCTGGCTCCCTCCCTCCCTCTCCCTAGCATATCTAGGCTTCCGTTTCCCCTGTAACAACGCTGGTCAGGAGAAACCTTGGTAACTTGGCTAGCAATCAGATCCCTCAGTGTGGGCAGCCATCTCATAAATGTGTGACAGAAGTCCCTGAAGAAACAATTAAAATGGTGTATCTATCAGTGCAAATCTATTTTGTCATCTCCAACCTTCAAATTTTCCCCATGTGTTAGATGTTGATTGTATCTTGCTCTGTGGAAAACAAACTTTACTCTATCACATGTACTGTGACTCGGCATCACCAAAGAAAAGTGTTAGGAAGGGTTTTCTTGTGGACTGTAGACTGTTTTACCATGTTTTTATCATCTGAATCATCATCTACTTTCCCTAAAATTTGCCCTCATTTTTTGACTGTTGCTACATTGAGAGTCTTGTTTGTTTTGTTAAAGATCAGTACAAATGACTCTGACTTTGAGCTAGGCCACAGATGGATTGAATTTCTTATTCTTTGCTAAGCAATGCACCTGCTCCAGAATCTTAAGTAGCTTTTTAATTGCTTCCTTGTGCACAACATAGCAATAGTCATCTGTAATGTTATAGATGGATTGCATTTTGGATGTCCCAGAGGTGACTTCTTCCTCTGCAATAGTGCCAGAAGCTGAGATTAGAGGAGTGTTCTGGTTGAGGGCCCAGCCGTCATGGTGGAATTAGTCCTTTCCTTCAGGCTGATCTGATTAAAAAGGGGCCAAGATGTAGAAACCTAGTCCCCAGGTTTCAGGAACTGCACATTCCCTCTTCTTCAGACTAGAGAAGGGCCAGCTCCCCTGTTCCCTCATCGATGAGTCCCCACTAGGCTGTGATCTCCAAGTTTTGGTTCTTCTGTGTTTCCATCTCCTAACGCTGTCTGGCATACTGAGGAGGCTCAGGAACAATAGCTGAGTAAGTGAATTCTTTCTTGAGCTAAGCATCCACTTAATGTAAGGAATTGGGAAAATATCTAAAAGATTATATCAGTGGGTCTATTTCCAATGGAGCTTACTTAGGAATGAATTGAGAAAGCAAACCCCACTCTTTCAGCCCAGAAACTCCTTGTTCTAGGGAGGCTACAGATACCCTGAGGATGAAATCCATCTGTGAAGCTACTGACAGCATCAAAAAACTTGACAAGTGGCAAAGGAGTATTTGATGATCCAACTGGCTTCAATTTTTTTGGTTGTTGTGAAAAACAGATCCAAAGACAACTGTGGAAAGAACACCCAGTCACACATGCCCGAAATTCAGAGGTGGGACCATCTGCTCACTTAGGCATTCATGCTTTTGCATACAGCAAACATTTATTGAGAATATACTGTGTGTCAGAAACTGAACAAAACTTAGTCCCTACTTTCAGGATCCCATAGAATAGAATATATTTGCTCAACTATGTATATGGTGCAAGAGGTGTGGCAAGAAATATGTGCCCATCCCTCAGAAACTTATGGCCCATAAAAGTAGCATTATTGGAATGGAGTCTTCAATGACGAGTGAAAGAAGGAAAACACCCTGGGCTGCTGGGTGAGCTCAGAGGTGCAGCTGGTGTAAAGGTCTGATGCTGGCAAATTGTGTGTGCATGGGGCCTGGGTTTGGGCAATGTTTAGGGTGTTTGAGGATGAGGGCTGGAAAATCAAGTATGCTAGGCCTGGCACTCCAGTGTGGCTCTTCCAGTCTGAGCCTCTGTCTTCTCCAGCCTCCCATTACTCACAACTTTTGTCTTCCCTCCCTGACTCAAATTTGCCAGTTCCTTACCTGCTCAATCCAATCCCTGCACTCCTCCTGTCTGAAATCCTTTTCAGTACTTTACAGGGCTGATCCCACTTTATCCATCCAGTCTCAACTAAGCGTCACCTATCTGGTAGGCCGTACCTGATCACACTGTCTACCGTTGCTTAAACAATTAAGTGGACAAATATGAAGGAATAGACACTCATTGGTGATCTGCAAATCAAAGGCACATGAGCCTGTCAACTGCTTTTGTGATCAATGGCTTAAGAATGGTTTGTACGTGTTCAATGGTTGAAAGTAAATTTTAAAACATATCATTTAGTGACGTGAGAAAGTTATATGAAATTCAGTGTCCACAGTCAAGTTTTATTGGAACTTAAGTTTACAGATGTCTGCGACTGCTTTCATGGCAAAATGGCAGGGTTGAGTACTTGCAATTGCAGTCCTAATGGCCTACAAAGCCCAGAGTATTTACTGTCAGCCGCTTTGCAGAAAAGGTCTGCCAACCCCTAGACTAGGGAATCAAGGGAATGGGAGAGCAACTTGTAGTCATTGTGGTGGAAGGTGAGGGGAGGCTGAGCTCCTGGCCTTGAGGTTGGAGAGGTGGAGTCTGGATTCCAGCCTTACCGCTAGGCAGGTTCCCTACCTCTGCCAAGCTCCCAGCCCTCTCCCAACCAGTCAGGCTTTTTCCACATGAGCATCTCTACCTTCCCCAGCAAACCAAGTTTCCCCTGTGTTGGAATGAAGTGATGAGTGTGAATGGCCATGTGACTCACATGCACAGGGCAGTTGTTGGGATCACTCCTGATTGTGAAGTACTGGAGCAGGTAGGAGGGCTGGCTGTATGTGGCTGCTACCTCTGAAGGTCAAATGGGATGATCACTTTGCTTCCTGTTTTGGTGTGTATTTGAGAGATGAGGATCTGAACAATGGATTTCCAAATATGTACATAAAATGATTGCAAGTTGGGAATCTCAAAGACATGCCATCATCTGTAGTCTAGGATGGGTTTAATCAGGGATCTTTTATTTGTGGTTCCATGGAGAAGCCAGCATAAAAACTTGGCCTTTGGGCTTTACCAAGTCTTTTAAATACAAATTGCCTGTCAGTCAAAATTTGGGTCCTTATTAAAATGATTTCAGTTAGATTCTTGACTGTAATAGGCTCTATATCTTATTACCCACTTTAGAAACTAGCCAACACCTTCATGTTCTTTTCTTTATAGAACTGTTGGCATTTTCTTTCTAAGACTCAGAGAATGTTTTGGACTGATTTTTAGATAATTTCCCTGTCC